AGGCCAAGGGCAGCTGCTGTATTTACGGGTAGACAGCTTGCACAGATCCTGCTTTTCTGAGGATACATAATGAGTAACCAAACAGATCCCATAGAAAAACAGTGGCATCACAGACAGGGAGAATTTGTGAGCTCCATATTGGCAAATTCATTTCCTCACTAAAATTTATCGGTAACTCCAAAATCAATATTCACCGCCCTTTCATGGATATTTACAACATGTGCAGAGAGGTGAAAATTTTGAGTAAGCCCATGTACACAGTCCTTGCTGAGGTCACACAAGGAAGTACTGTTTTTTTTTGGTACCACGGATTGAACTCGGGACCTTGTGCTTGCGAGGCAGGCGGTGGAACCACTGAGCTAAATCCCCGGCTCAGAGACAATACTCTTGTTTCAACGCTCATAGTGTAAACAAGCTGTGGCTGTCACACTGTATACACATGTGCTTTGCATGGTCTATTGGTGGTATGTTTTTCACATTTTGGTACTCTTTTTGTGGGGGGGAGTAGTTGTTTTGCTCTTTAAAATGTATCCCAAGCGTGGTACTGACATACTGTCTAATGCCACTAAGTACAATAAGGTGGGGGTGTATCTTTCAGAGAAAATACATTAGAGTAGCTTCATTCAGGCATGAGTTACAAGGCTGTTGGCCATGAGTTCAGTGCTAATGAATCAATAATATATCTTAAATCAGGTGCCTTTTAGCAAGAACACATATGAAGCAAGATTCTGTATCCATCTGTTTGTAAGAGTGTGGTGAGCAGAGGCTCCCAGGCTCTTAACCCAGAATTACCCCTCGGAGCAGTGGTTCAGTATTCAGTAACTGAATGTTCACAGCAACTTTATAGAAATAGTGAGAATCAGCTATATCTGAAAGAGCCCGCTTCTGAAAATGATTATACAGCAAGATCCAGGAGAAAATCTTGGGAGACTGGCAGCCTCATATTGTAAGAAGATATTTTTGTGTGTGTCCACGATGGCTGCACTGTGGTTCAAGTTGTGTGTGTGAGTGAGTGTGTGTGTGTGTGTGTATGTGTGTGTGTGTGTGTGTCGGGGGTGGTGCTGTGATTTCCAGGAGACATTAAGTTCAAGTCAACAGAATTGCGCACAGGAATACCTCCCTATGTCCCAGTGTAAAGAACTGATACAACCAAGGTCATCTCTGGCACATAGCCACTGTTATGTGTATTTTCCCCTTTCTACAGCTAGATTGTCACGTGAGTGTGTGCAACTGAGCAGCACCTGCGAATGACGATCTCTGCGTCTCTCATCTCTTCTTTGGATTACCTGAATCTCAGGTGAATCTCCCCAGTCTGAACAGGTGACAAGACACCGTAGCAGGGCACATCTTTTGTCCGTGCCTGGCTACCCGTGGTGAGAACTTCAGGGCTGCTCAGTCCGGCCAGACATTGCTTAATGATGAGGATACATCCTGAGAAGCACAACGTTAGGCGGTTCTGTCATTGTGTGGACATCGTAGAGTGACCTAGATACCATAGGCTGCTCGGTGTAGCCTCATGATGGAGTTGTGGGGTGTGGGAAACATGGGGAGAGTGAGGCTGCTTACTGTGTCACATGGCATAGTGCACAGTAAACTTTTTTTTATAAGCAGGAGTGTCCTGTAAGTGTAGTACAGTAAATACATAAATCAGTAGCGGTCTATTGTTACCAAGCATCGTGGGTTATGTTATGCATAGTCATATGTGCTCTGCTTTTGTGTGACTGGCAGCACAGTAGGTTTGTTGACACCAGTGTTACCACAGACACGGAACCATGTGTTTCTCCATGATGTCCATCTCTTTGATGACTATGGTGTCATTTTGGAAATAGGACTTTTTCGGTTCTCTTATAACCTTACAGGACCACAGTGGTACGTGTGTGGTCTGTGGGCTGAAACCTCACTTTGCTCATAGACTGTGTTTGGGTTTTGGTCATCTGCAAGCACCCCCGAGGTCCTGCTGGTGAGAGTGTTGGCTGATGTGTGCAGTGCTGACAGGGACCCCATCTCGAGTCCCCAAGTCCTGGCCATCCTGCTTTCGGTGAGCCTGCCACCTGTGATATCACCGTGCTTATTTCGTTCCAGTGTCTGTTGACACCAGCTACTCGCTTTTGGGCTGGGTTTGGCCTGTTCTTTTCATTTGCTTTTTGCTTAAAAGAACTCAGGTTTTGCCGGGAAAGCTAGTGCATTCAAGAGGCTGAGGCAGTGGGATTGCCACAATTTTGAGGCCAGCCTGGGCTACATAGCAAGACCCTGTGTCCGAAAACGAAAACAAAATGAAAGCAACTCAGGTTTTTCCGACAGTGGATCAGTCCTTGGTAGTGACTGAACTGAGGTCTGACTTGCCTTTGGCATTTCCCTGGAGACCTGCCTGTCCTGTCACAGGGTAAAGGTGTTCAGAGTGGAAGGACCAGGTGAAAGGATCATCCCTGTTTTGGTACAGGGGCCTGTGGCTGGGAAAGTAAGAAGGAAGGAAGTAGTCCAGATGGACACCTTGAGCTGGGAGCTGGATGTCGTTATTAAAATACCCAGAGGGACTGAGATGGTCATGGAGAGAGGCTGGTCCTCACAGACAGCTTGTCCATGAAGCCCTCCCGGTGGTGACACTGCTCCCATTTCTAACCAAAGGACAATCTCCTTCTCTTTCTAGGGGCCAATTATATTCAAGTCTAGTTTCCTGCAGTTTGTACCTTTCCCCTACAACCAGCTCCTCCCCAGCAGCTCCCTGTCCTCTCCTTCCTGTGTGGAGGCAGTTAATTTCTCCTTCCACAAGAGAATATCTGGCAATTATGCCTCTTCCTCTTTTTGCTTTCCTCACCCACCTTCTCAGTCAGTCCCTTCCTGCTCTAGGAATGCTTTCCCTGTGATTCCCCCTGCTTGGCCCTGAAGCTCATTTTCTGCCGGAAACCCTGCACAGTTCCGTGTGTACCTAAGATGATGTTGATTGTGGCGCTGTGTGATCACTTGCGCTCTGTGGAGGTGCTAGTGTCTCCCTTCATCCCTTTTTGTGACTTTGAGCCATCTAGCACCCCACTCTAATATCCCATAGGAATGTGGTCTGTAGTGTGCTCCCCCTGGTCAACCAAGAAGGCCCAGGCCTAGTTGGCAGCTCTGGTCAGTAGCTCATTTTCCCCTGACTGCACCAGCTTCCTGGTTGCTACAGACCCGCTGGCCTTCCACTCCCACAAAATGGTTCCTAGACATCTTTTCTTCCCTGGTCACTCTCACCCCTGCTTCCCTGTGACCATTCCCAGTCTTCTCACTGTCTCAGTCGCCTCCCCTGACATTGTCCAATTTGTTGGTGCCCCTCTCTTGATGTGGGAAAGCTGGAATAAGGCTAACTGTGCAAAGGGGATATTATCTTTCTCTCTCTGGATGTCTTTGGGGTTCTGGGAAGTTATAGACTTACTTTTTCTTTTTTAAACAGCAACTCTTTCCTCTAAGCCCCAACGTTCTCTGCAGTTTGGTTCATAATGAACAATCGGACACTTGGAAATTGGACTGTGGCTTTTATTTTTCATTGATGGGTGCTTCTGAACAGGCTAGAGGGGTATGGTGAAGTCTGACCTGGAGAAGGTAGGGTGGGTATCAGGGAGCACTAGATACCAAGACCTGGAGAGCTGGTCTAGGCATGACCCCAGCCAGCCTTGTGCTTTTGTTTCTGATCAGACTGTGTTATTGAGCTGTACAAAAATCAGAAGATACTGTTGGACAAAAGCAGAAAGCAAGTAATACATATAACAGTTTATCCAATCAGCCATAATGACAGTGTTGACACACGGCATCCAACGTTTGCATTGTTTCAGATTTTTCCCGTTCCAAGTTGTGTTGTGTAGGTTGTCATTCCGAGCTGACCTTTTGGGCTATTCTCAAAGTTCCCTTAGGATGGATTCCTAGTTGTGGGATTGCTGGTTCAAAATTAGAACTTTTGGTCCATGTTATATCCTTGCCCTTCCTAGATTGTCCCAAAACAGAGTTTGGCCTATTTTTTCCCCGTTTTCTCAGGTGTGTTGGGTATTAATTACTCTGAAAAATATTGGACAATTTGGAAGACAAAAAGTGGCATTAGATTTAATTTGTATGTCTTTGAACAAGAAAGTTTAGGCGCTTTTAAAAAACTTTAGATTTTTTTGAATCATCTATTGGGATGCTAATAATACAAATTTCTAGTAAGAGTTCATCTTTTTTCTTAATGAAGAAAGGAAGATAGGAAGATAGCAAGATAGTAAATTCTTGTACACCTTTTATCTTACAGATATTTCTCCTAGGTTGTTACAGTGACTTTTTAAATTTTGTGGTGCTTTTTGGCCTAAGTTTAAAATGATCATATATTCAGATGCAGGTTGAGTGTTCTTTATTCAGAATGCTCACAGTTTGGATTTTTTCTTTTGAATTTTGGAGTATTTGCCCACACATAATGAGCTGTCTAGGGGGTGGGACCCAGTTATAAACATGAAATTCATTAGTGCTTTTTTTTTTTTTTTTTTTTTTTTT